GAAACCCCTTTGCCGGGGGGCGGCCCCCCCTTCTTGGGCCCCCCAAAATCCCCCCCGGTTTTTCCCCTTGGGTAATGGGAAACCCTGTCCCGGGGAAACCCCGGGGGCCCCCCCCCCGCTTTTGTGGGGAGGGGGGGCAAAGGTCAAAAGGATTCCGCCAGCCCCGTTTTGGGGTCCCCCCCCCCCCCCCCCCCCCCCTCCTCTTGCTCCGTCCTCTAGAGGACGCGTGGTCAATGGTCTAACCGCTAAGGCACGCAAAACATGAGTACTCCCCCCCGGTTCGTGGCCACTGTGGTCGATTGGTCAATGTACTAACGACTACGGTATACGTTTACATGAGTACCCCCCCTCGCTTCGTCCAGGCAGAGCATGGATGCGAGGTCAATCGTCTGAACGCGAAAAGGGGTGCCAAAACATTTGTTACATACAACCAGCATGCGCCGGTCACAAAATGTGAACATGTTGGATACTTCACAGCATGCAATTCGGGGGAAGTTTGGGTTAGGGATAGGGTCTGCGTACCCCCCCCCTTCCCTCTTCTACTTCATCATAAACCTATAAATACCGCAATGGCGCCGTTGCAACCCCCGGCCTCCTGATCAACAGGGAGTTGAAGTCCTCCAGGAAGGCAGCGGTGGCTCGGCCGACGTCGAGACGTACGTGCAGACCACGCATGAGTTCAACGGAAACGGAGGGGGGTTCGTTGCACCCCTGGGTGGCGGCACCTCAGTGGATTCGGCGAAGGGCTTGGAGGGGGGCGAGGCATTCTTCGCTACGGGGGGTGCCGACGCAAGGGTGAGTGCGTTGTTTTGTTTTTATCGACTCGGCTACAGTATTCGGCAGTGGCAACCACGAGAAAATGATATGAACGTGATGTGTCTGTGTGTGTGTGTGTTTTTTATCGGTTTTTTTTTTATTTGCATGGCATGGTGGTTGTGATGTTCGTGATGGCGAGGTAGCGATGATGTTTGCTTGTACACGGGAGGCTCTTCGCGTCCCCGCTTGCGCTGGTTCACCGGCAGGTGCTGGACAGCACGACCAACACAGGCGAAGAAATCTCGGCCAGTGGCAGTTGGTGCGTCGCTTCCCCCCTCCGCACAGGAGGCTTGTTTTAGTATCGGCCCGTTGAACCTTGGCACGTATTATAGAGTAAGTATTGTGCGTGTGGTGGGCGGAAGTGGATGGGGTTGTTGCACAGGGCAGTTAGTTGCAAGGGAAGGTACCGGCACACCGACCGAAGGCCAATGCCACCACCCACCGCCACCGCCACTACCGCCTCGCTGATGATAGAAGTTGGAGGTTTTCCTGTGCCTGCTTGCTGTCTGTCCTCCTTCCTCCTCCTCCACCTCCTCCTTCTGCTGTCCACGTGCGTGCGTGTGGTGATATTTTTTTTTTTCGGAAATGTTCGGCTGCCGCTTCAGATGGAGCACCAGCAGCACCAACACCCGCCTGACTGGATGAGGGCCTTCGAACGATTCCGCCCCAGGACTAGCGGCCGCAAGCTCCTAGGCATGGCCAAGGCCTCCGCCGGCAGCGGTGGCGTTGTCCGACGGTTCATGACCAAGGTACGGAACGGCAAAGAGTTCGATTCTTTCTGCTGTGCTGGCACCTTTTCGGGGGTTGTTGACCAAGACAAATAACACAAACGGTAGATAGACACCAAAGAGTTTGAAGTATGGTGTGCAGGGAGCTCTTTAGGTTGTTGACCAGGGGAAAAAGCACAACGGTAGACTGGAACGGCACAACGAACGGCAACGAGTTCGATGTTTTCTCGTGCGCTGGCAACCTTTTCGGGAGTTGTTGACCAAGGTAAAGGAACGGCACGACCGACGGCAAGGACTTTGATGTTTTCTCGTGTCCAGGCGGCGACGGCGGCCGCGGCTTGCGCAGCCGCAACCCGTGTCGGTGACTTCGATCCCAGCCACGCGCCGTAGTCGTGTCGATATTGGCACAGAACAAATCTACTCCCGTTGATGATTGTCCGAGGTTATTGTCCGAGGGTCGTTGACTCGAAAGGTGAGGCAAGGCAAAACGAACGGCATAAGGGTTGGGTTTCTCGTGTGTGTGCAGGCATCCGTTTGGGGGGGTTGTTGACCAAGAAAAATGAGCACAACGGTAGAAACATGGATTTTTAAAGTTTGAATGTTCTCGTGTACATGCTGGCAGCTTGTGGGAGCCGTGAGCCTGTTTGGTGACTTCGACCCCAGCCGCGTGCCGTACTGTATGGTCGCGAATTGGCACAGAAAACCTACCCCCCACAAGACAAGTCAGTCGGGGTTGGGTATGTTCTCGCGGCCGTTCTTGCTTGTTACGCTGCCATGGACGACGACTCTAGTAGTGCGATAGCTTGGCTTTCATTTGGCATATTCATCGCCTGTACAAAGGTGGTTTTGAGAGAGGGTTGGGGGGCCACAAGCCCACTGGAAGAAAGCTTTCTTATTTCCCTGCCATGGACGACGACTCTAATAGTGCGTCAGGTTGGCTTTCATTTGACACATTTCGCCTGTGTGTTCAACACCGCCCGAGGCGTTGTTGAGAGAGCGCGGGGGGGACGCAACCGCCCACGATCCGAGCCAACCGCTCCTGTTGCAAGCGGTGTCGAGCGTGTGTGTTTGCGTGTCGGCATGCAATGCGTGCACCAGCTTGACTCGGATTTGCGCTCCAATTATTAACAATGGGTCGTCATTTTTTCTGTCGTTCCTCCTCTCCCGTTTCGCATGCCTCCCTGCCTGGAAACGAAAACAAACGCAGGGCTTGGAGAAACTGCACGCCCACGTCGCGGACACCGCCACGGCGTCGGTATTGATCGGATGTGCCAGGTGTGAGTGTGCCCTCGTCATCGTGAGCAACGCGATAGTGTGTGTGTGGTGGACATTTTCGATATTCCGGCTGCAAGGTGTGCATGCAGCTTTCGCGCCAGCACTTACCGTATGCGACACAAGATAACACACCCCCTGGGCCGATTTTCAAAGCTCCCATGATTTTTCAGCCGCAGAAAGAGTCGCGGCGCCGAAAACTCCGGCGTTGAAAGTATAAATAATAGTTCGATCGAGAGCTCTCTGGAAATGTATCAGTTCGTTTATGCATCCTCTTCGTCGTGGAGTAATCGAGGTCTGAAAATTGGTCCAGGGGGTGTGTTATCTTGTGTGGTAATACGGTAAGGACCTCTGGTATTGGCCGGGTGGCTGGGGCCCTTGGTTCCTTCATGTTGACTGCAAATGGCCCGCTAAAATGTTTTCTACTGTGGGTGCTGTTAAGCGGAGGGCGTAGGTTTTTGGTGTGGCGGGTCTTAACTGAGGTCACATCTGACGGTGCTCAGGTCCTCGTGGCTGATAGGGTACATTTGAATCATGTGCAGCAGAAGTAGTTCCTGACTGCCAACTTTTGAGGTATAACGGTGCTAGAAAAAAAAAAAAAAAAACGTGCTTCGAAGTATGCTCTCGAGGTGTTGGAGAGCTAGCTGTACATATGCATGCTCGGACCTAACTGCAGAAACAGGCTGTTTTGCGTGCTGCACTCTCGTCGTTAGCTCTGTATCATCATGGTAGCGCTGAGGCGGCAAGGGTTTTCATGAGCGCACGCACACCGGTCGGGTTAGGGGTCTCCTGACGACCACACCTGACCATGAAGAAGAGGGCAACACCGCATGCACGTGGTGCATGGTGAATCGGTATCACGAAAAAAACGACCCCCTCGCCTACGATGTATAGCTGCTGCTGACGTCACCGTTTCCTGCTGCACTTTTTCGTGCCGCCTGTCTGTCCGTTGATCGTGGCGGCGGCGGCAGCCTCCGCTTCGGAAGCAAGGCCGTGCTGCTGCTTACCCTCGTGGCGGGGGGCGTGCGGTCGGCTGCGGCTGCCAACACCACGACGACGAGAACCGTGGGGACCCAGACCAACACGACCTCGAGCATCGAAGGCATCAACTCAGGTGAGGACAGGTTTTACGGTAAAATAGTGGTCCCGGCAAAATGCCGGTGGTGCGATCGAGCCGATCGAGCCGGCATTATAGCGGGCAACCGGCATTATTCAGAGCCCGAAATAGCTCGAATATTCATAAGCGCCAGACGACTTGACCGGCATTTTCCAGGGCTCCAACCGCCCTCACTACTATTGCTACTACTGTACGAGGTCCTTAAGCGTGCTGCCGGGTGCTTCATTTTTTCTGTGCGCGATGTGTCGCCACAGGAGGTTGGACTTGCCGTCCCGGGGATGCGGACTGCCTTTCCGACGACACCGACGAGAAAACATGGACGTGGTTCGAGGTCATCACGGACGTCCTGGCGCTTACAACGGTAAGCAATCAAGCACGGGTTGCCGCCGTACCCCCGTTCGTTTGGTCTTGGCTTACCGTTTACCGCAGGTGGCGTAGGTGAGGTATCACCCCCCCCCCCGTGCTCCGTCCCGGCTTTGAAGGGATGCGAGGTCAATGGTCTAACGACAACGGCATGCACGACTATGAGTACCCCCCAACCCCAACCCGGGGAAGGATTTTCCTTCTTGAAAGCATGTGCTGCTCGGGAAATGGTGGAAATACAGGTAGCCTTCGCTGACACTATGAATTCATTGATAATCACTTTTTGACTCTTGTCTTCGATAGAGATGGGTTCTCGTTGGGTCATATTTGGAAATAGAACAGGGAAGGGGTACGCAGACCCTATCTATCTATTCCCCGATTGTATGATTAATCCAACATGTTTTCTTAACTACAAAAAGCCTGCGGAGGCTGGTGATCGTGGTCGTCATCGCCAGTGCCTCCGCCAGCGCCGCCGTCACGCCCTTTCTTACTGCTCCCGTAACCACCGCCACAAACCGCCGTGCGTTTCAACGGGGATGTGTGTCTTGGGTTGCTCTCTTCAGGTGCTCCGGTTCCTCTGGATCTCCGCCGTCTGGCTCGGAGGCACGACAACGACCTGCGTCATGTGGGCTAGGACCAGGAGGAGCAGGAGCACGAGAGCGTCGGTCTCGCCCTTAATCCCCACTGCAGACGCCGTCGTCGTCGCCGTCGCCGTCGCCGCTACGGCCGCCCCGGTGATTGCCGCACCTCCGACCGCGGCGGCGGCGTCTACGGCATCTACGGCGCCCGTAGCAGCAGCGCCTGCGACGGCGGCCACGCCCAACACCGCCGGTACCGCGGCTCCGGCGGGGGAGGAGGCGGCGGCATCGGCATCGGCAACGTCTTCTTCGGCCGAACCCGCCTCCGTGCCGGTGCTCCGGCGCGCGCGGTCCTACGTCGAGCGCATCGTGTCCAACCTGACGGAGACGGCGATGGTCGTCGGCGAGGCCGCCTCCAACGTGGGCGACGCTGCTCTGGAGTTGGTGGTGGTGGTGCGCCCGGCGGAGGCGGAGGCGGCGGCGGAGGCGGAGGCGGAGGCGGAGGCGGAGGCGGAGGCGGAGGCGGAGGCGGTGGCGGAGGCGGAGGCGGTGGCGGAGGCGGAGGCGGTGGGGTATCCGTTCGCGGTGTCCAACACGTCCGTTGCTGCTACCACCACCGTCGTCGCCGCTTCCCCTGTCGTGGCCGCATCTCAGGAACCGGCGGCGTCTACGGCGTCCGCGACGGCGGCAACCCCTTCGACGGCCGTGCCTAACACTACCGCCTACGATGCTGTCGCGGTACCGGCGGCGGCGGAGGGGGAGGTGGCCGGTTCCTCGGCCGAACCCGCCGCCGCCGCCGCCGCCGCCGCCGGGGTGGGCCGGCCGCCCGTGCTCCTGCGCTCGCTATCCTACTTAGACCGCATGGTGTCCAACCTGACGGAGGCCGTCTCTGCCGTCAGCGAAGCCGTCTCCAACGTTGGCAACGCCGCCTCCAACCTGGGCAACGCGCTGGACATGGTGTAGGCCGCCGGCATCGATTGCACACACCTCCGATGCACCTCCGCGGTTGCGGTGGTGTCGCGGTTGCGTGCGTGCTTGGGGGGTCGGTAGGGTGATTGTGTGTAGACCGTCGTGGTATCGAAAGCGCCGCAAGGGACCGGGGGAAAGGGCGCGGAACAATTCAGGCGGTTCTTGTTGGTGAGAAGAAATTGAGGTGCCGCCGCCGGTGCTGCTGTAGCGTGTGCGATTGTTGTTGTGCGTGTCGAATTGTGAGTTGCCACTGCCGGTGCTGCTGTAGCGTGTGCGATTGTTGTTGTGCGCGTCGAATCGTGAGGTGCCACCGCCGGTGCTGCTGTGGCGTGTGGTTGTTGTTGTGCGGGTCGAATCGTGTGGTGAGCGTTTCTCGAGATGGGTGACGGTGTGGACCGGCCGGGGCACGTATCTACCATCACCGGTGCCGTACCGCTCTTGTTTTTTTTTTGTTGTGTTGATGAACGTTTGTCATCGTGGTGTGTTTCCTTCCTTCCCTTGGCGCACATGCTGTGCTGGGGAAGCAGCAGAGCATCGCACAACATTCGCGAGAAGACACGGCGTTTCGTTTCTGTTGTAGGAATTTTGTGCACAGTGCGCGGCTCGAACGGGGTGTCGGGAGTGATCACTTTCGTTCTTTGGTGGGCGCGCTTTTTTTTTTTTCTGGGGGGGGGGGGGGGCGTGGAACCTCGTCGCATATGATTCCCCACCGCCTTGGAGGCGGTACTTCTTCATGCGCTCGGGACGTGCAGCGGTAGCAGCAGCGATAAAGAAAGGCTAGAGTTTCCGTTGATTGCACGCAGTGTGTAGGCGAAGCCTCGCCGATTTAATTGAGTGCAGTGTGTGGGCAAAGCCTCGCCGATTGAATTGAGTGCAGAGTGTGGGAGAAGCCTCGTGCATTATCAGCGGTGCAAACAAGGCTATCTAGAGGCTGATTGGACACGACCAGAGTGTGTGCGAAGCATCAGCGGTGCAAACAAGGCTAGAGGTTCATTCAACACGAGCGGTGTTTGGGTGAAGCCTCTCCGAATGAACGGGTGCAGGGGTGTGGGCGAATACTGTAGTGGTTTTTGCTTTTTGCTTTCGCCTCTTTTTTTTTTGCCGATTGTTGTCAGCGTTTGATTCTTCCGGGGCCTTGTGATTGACAGAAGCCAGTCACCTACAGGCGAGGAATCAACCGTACAGGCAGTCAGCAGCAGTAGCACGGTAGAGTGAAAGGGTCGAAGAGACTGTGCGACTCAGGCAGGGAGGAGGTGGCGGAGGGGGTGCGTAAGGTGATCTCGAAGCACCTATCTATACCGAGGTTGAACAACGAACCGGGTAGGTGTGTCGTGGCTCGGGAAAAAGTATCCACGTGAGGAGGATAGTTCAAGGGTAATAATCAATAGTAGCTAATAGGGTAGGAGGAGGCAGTAGACCCCGTCGTAGCATGGGCCATAGCTCCTTGAAGGCATGCTAGTAAGTAGCGTGCGCCGGTATCGGGTCACTCGTGCAGTAGGTCGATTTTCTCGTGGCGGCAGAGCCCAGTCGTAGCATGGGCGATAGCTCCGTGAATGCATACTAGTAAGTAGCGTGCGCCGGTATCGGATCACTCGTACAGTAGGTCGACTTTCTCGTGGCGGCAGAGCCCGTTGTAGCATGGGCGATGGCTCCGTGAATGCGTAAGTAGCGTGCGCCTGGCCGTTTCCCGCTTGAATCGATCACGATCAAGACGTGAAATATGTACGTACCCAGAGAACATGACATGTCATTCGCAGATTACATCTCTCGTTGTGTAGGCGTAGGGGTACCAATGTCCCGGGGTAAACCCCTGATTTGCTTGTCCGCACGACGAGCGTATGCGCAAGACCAATATCATGATGGCAAGTAAGACAAGGAGCACGTCAGCGTGTTTGACAACGAGCACTCGTAATGGAGCATGGCGGTAAGTACCATACCATGATTGATACTTATTAGTATGAGGTAGAGCGGCACAGGAAAAAACACCAATGTATGGCCATGCAAACCCTTGGGCAAATCCTGCGAGCGTTTTGCGACAAGACAGACAGGCAACCCTTCGCTCTCAAACCAAAACTGTCTTTCGTTTCCTTGAAGATTTTGTTTTATAACCTCACCGTCCTCGGCGCTACTATTCTAACCGTGAACTTTAGCAGACAGCTCGGGATGAAATACGATGCCAACAACGAACAAACAACAAAAAATCTTTCGGAAAACACGACAAAAATTCCCCACAGAATTCATTCACGAAAATACAAGGATCCCCCGAACACATACGAAGTACATGTACATCCCGAGGTACATGTAGACAAAAAGTTTCTCCAAATGATTCTTGATCTCCCCCGTTGCGGCACAAGTGCTGTGAGCGCCGACTTTTGAAGAAAAAATACGAAACGAAAGAAACTCTCCTACTGTAAAAGACCCTTGGTTACTCATCAGTTACCCTGTCGACGCCAGTTCTGATATCCTAGTAGTCGAATGGGAGCTACACAGGGGGGGGGGGGGGGCATCCAAAGGCAGTACGCGACACGGTGTAGCTCTGCTGCCTGCCTTGACCTACTCTGGACAAAGCCTCAATGAAAATTTACCCCTACGACTTCCCTCTGCCAGGTACTTGTTGCCGACGAGTAATTCGTCGTCGTCTGTTCACCATCCGCCTACATCAGCACCGCACGGAACCTCGTCCACCCAAAGGTAAATGTCGTTGGCATAGAGAGCCAAAACGATCGATAGTGCAGTGGGCACTCACTCATGCCCGCTCACTTCGGAATAATGTTCGTTGAACGACTGGCTGCTGTTGCAAACGTTCGCACCCGCGGCACAAGACATCATCACACGCCCAACTCCGAAAGACGGACAGACAGGTGTGGTTGATCGTCTTCAAATTCCTTACCCTTCCACCAGCAACCATCGTAACCGTGTCGACCGACCTTCGACAGCCAATTCTGTTAGCTGGCTCATTTCAGCTGGCAGGTAAACAACAGCGCTCAACGTTTCTATAGAAGGGAGGCGGTCCATGACTGTCGGAAATGACGACAAGCTGAAAGCTGTCGTTGTCAAGGGTATAAACACACACACACACACACACATCCTCTCTCGCTCGCCCAAGCGGCGGCATTACTGCTACGTGCACGCTCAACCAAGAGCAAACTATGTACAAAATCAGGTAAATAGACGTGAAGAGGACGAGCCATCATGGGATACGAAATGGTGTGACTATGCGCGCCGCGTCCAAAAGACTCAGCACGGCAACAACACGTTCGTGTGAAAATAAAACGAGAAACCATTCCGCTGTGTATGGCCCACTTCGGGAGTCACATCCAACCCCCGGCTGCCGGCGCGGCGAGCTATGCATGTAGCTATGAAATCCTCGCCAATCCCTGTCCTATATACTCCGTATTAGCATCCCCATGAGCACGTTTCCCCCCCATCATCACGACGCCCGTTCTGAGCAAGCTGTGCTACAATATCCTCGTCCATCCTGTACTACTGTAATAACAAATATCAATATAGGCGGCACGTTTCCACCGGTCAACATGGCTAGCTGTGCTATCGTCGCCAATCCTGTACTATATAACATCCCTATAGGCACGTTTCCACCGCGTCAGCACGGCTAGCTGTGCCATCCCCTCCCATCCTGTACTCATGGACACGTTTTCTAATCCGCCAACACGGGGACGCGCCGGACGTGGTCGCCGGCGGCAGCGGCGGCAGCGGCGGCGGCGGCGGTGACGGCGCCCGGCTGACGATCACTGCGGCAAAGGAAGCGGATGCTGCTCCGCCACCGCCGCCGCCGCTACCGGCGACCGCGGCGAGATGACGGCAAGCTCAACATCGTCCTCCTTTTCCTCCAAGTTCCGCATGATGGGGGGGACGGCAACGCCACCGCCCCCTCCCAGGCCACCAAGTGGCGGCATGCGAGCTGCTGCCCGCAAAGCCGCCCCCCCCCTGCGAAGGAGAAACGACGACGCTCTTCTCCTCGCATCGATGAAGAAGGCTGTTCCTGTCAGCCACACAGCCGCAGCCCGCACGCTCCGCGCGCACTTGGAGCAAACGATCGGGGCCGGCCGTCGGGGAAAATGTGCGGGCAGCGTGGGTGGGCGGTGGACGACGGAATAAGGGAGGGCTAGCTGCAATCTTACTGCTATTATTTCTCCGCCGGGTTATTATTGTTGTGTACGTATTGTTGGCGAGAGCAGGCATGGTTTTTTCCCCATGCCGGAGAAATGAAAACTGGGACGGTTGTCAATCGATACCTTTGTCAAAAAAGGGGGCTCCGCGGAAGAAGGAAGGCAACCAATGGCGAACGAATCTGGATTTCATCACGCTTGCATGTTGTTACGAAGGAGGCGAGTACCACACCAGCCAGGACGGCATCGTAAAAAAAAAACAAAAAAACATGCGAACACGCCTGACACTGCTACGGAACGTCAAAGCATCACACTACTTTCGTTTCATGGCGACGAACCCGTCTGCTACAGAGCTGCGAAGGCAATAACGTGTCGACGTCTATTACGCGACGAGGTCGTGGTATGATGGGACAACACGCGTGCAACATTCCCCGACACTTCAAATGCTACGCACGACACCTCGGCAACATTACAGGCAAGCAGCATCAACCTTCTTCTTCGTGGAAATGGCGACGATTCTCTCTTTCTACTAGAAGAGTAGCGAAGGCGAACGCATGACGAGGTCGTAGAGATGGCGCCGCTTAAAAAAAATCGGCAAAGGCAAGCATCAACCTTCGTTTGGGGCGACGAGTCCTGTCTTCTTACGGAGATGTTGCAAGAGCAAACAAAAAATACACCACGAGGTCGTGAGAAACAACGCGTACAGAACGCCTACAGTCGGAACCCAGGAGTTGAGAAATTGAGCCTCCAAAAAACTCAAAATTTCCGAAATTGAGCACCATTTTTTTTAGCTCGGATAAGACCCCTCACACTAAACCCCATATAGCGACCATTGGCAGCATTACCCTAGGAATACGGTTAGAACCCCAGCCTCGGCCAAAGCTACCGTAGGCGGAATGACACAAGATACCACGCCCCCTGGACCCGTGTTCAAAGCCCGAACGCCCAACGATGAAGAGGATGCATAAATGATCAGATACGTTTTCAGAAAGCGCTCGACGAGACGGCTTCAATGCCGCCGTTCGCGGCGCTTCAACGCTTGTCCCGTGGGACAGATCGACCTTTGAAACGCGGCCCACGGGGGGGGGGGGGGGGGTGTACTCGTAGTCGTGGATGCCGTAGTCGTTTGACCATTGACCTCGCATCCCTACAAAGCCGGGACGGAGCACGCCGGGTTCTCACCGGACCAGGCTCTCACATCACCAAGCGCGAAGCGCCGTGAGGTATTTGGCGAGTCGCATGAAGGGTGAGCTGCATCCTGCTAAGGGTGTTCGGCATCTTGTGCTTACTTCCTTGCGTACGGATGACAGCTACGTATGACTTAATTTATTTTCTGGTGCTTTCACTTCCAGAGACAGTTGTGAGCACTGTGTAACTGCCTCGAGGAAGCTTGACCATTTTAACACAACGTGGTGCGATCATCCCCCGTTGCGCGGAGTGAGGTTTCTCGACCCCGCACAACATGATCTACTCGACCACCATTATGGTTACCGCCAAAAAAAAAAACGAGGTAAAAACAAAAACGGTAACCTGGTTGCCGAGTTCACGAAGTGAATTGGCTTGTTTTACAACGTCGTTGCCAAGCGACGAAAACCCAATCCCGATGGCAAAACACCGAGTGGGGGGCTTGTTTTACAACGTCGTTGCCAAGCGACGAAAACCCAAACCCCGATGGCAAACACCGGAGACTGGGGGGGGGGGGGGGTATCTTGTGTCACCTACGGTTAGACGTTCATAAGTGCGGGCACGTGCTGTAGAGCACCAGCTGTCAGAACAACGCGAGTGAGAATGCTCACCGCGTAGAGTTTGTAGCCTCTCCATATCCATAAGACCAGCCAGAACAGAACCTCGTCCATCGTGTCTCCGTCACAGTTGGCGTCCCAGCGGCTGCTGCAAGCCTCCTCCCCTGGAAAGCATCATCATCGCGGTCATAGGTAACAGCACAACAAATCAGGGGTTGAGCCAGGTGCAAGGTGAAAACGCTCAGCCAGGGCTGTGTTCTGGATCTACGAGATCAAAAACACGACGGAAATTGATCTACGACATGAAACAGCGACAGCATTGGCAATATTTGAACCACGTTAAGCTGGCTAATGCTGAAGCTACGATAGCGCCAAACATTGCAACATGAAAGGGAGCTGGAAACGCACCACCGCTCAGTCTTAACAAGGCACGCTCAACACGTGTTCAGGCGTTAAGCAACGGTAGGTCAAATGGGGCAGGGAGAGCGGGTGTTTCTGTTCAAGAGGTTCCGTGGAAACCAGAGCACAACACAAGCCGGCGTACCGGCCGATTACGCTGGGCGGCCACGCACAATTCAGGCAAGATTTGAAAAATGGCAAGTCTCTTCATTCCGTTCGCGCGATTTTGAAAAAAGCAGGAAACTATTGAGGTATAAAAAAACGTGTAGCATCGGTAAAACTGCGTGGTGGGTGTCGCGCGAGGTTGGCCTTACCGATGACGAGGTCGTCAGCGGTTGCCGCCATTGCCGGGCTTGAATCGGCCCAAGCTCCCCCAACCAACAACGCTGCCATGCACACAACAAGCGCGGTCTTGTTGTGCCCAAGGCTGACACTGCCGCCACTACTGTAGAAGAACAAGTGCAGCAAGGGCGGGATTAAGGGGTCGGAGAGGGAGAGAAAAATGTCAACAGCAGCAGTGCTGGCACACGATTCACCCCCCCCGCTCCCCCCCCTTTGGTCAATGGTCTATGCAGCCGCGAAGGCATGGAAACGTAGAGTACGCCCCCCCACTCGCCCCTTCTGCAGACTACCGTCCGTAGCCCCTTAGCGGGAACGAACGCACATCAACCCGCCAAACGCTCCGAATCGTTGCAACAATCAAAGGTCAGTCTCGCGATGCACCTCACGAACTTGGGCTCCGCGCTCATGGAAGCCCCCCCCCCCCCCTCCCATTCCGACTCTAAATCGGGCGCTCGGCACGTCTTGGCCAGATGTTGAGGCCCAGGCGTAGAAAACGAAGCCGAAAGCTTTCTGCCATATGGTTGAAAGAGGCACTGCTGTGTGGTACAATGCCTCGAATGGGTATTTAGTCTTTCTGACAGGCACGCCGTCAGCATCACGATGACATCGTTGTCTGCCACCCTCAAACACAAGCTGCGACGGCGACGGAGGAGGCGTATGGTTGGCATCTCACGATCAAGCGCGCACCCACATACATACCTCGCGAAATGGGCCAGGGCAGCGGCCAAGGCCAAGGCGGTGGTTGCGGACTGGTGGGCAGCAGTCGTCATCTTCGTCTTGGCTCCTTTCTCGAAGTGATGTACTTGAAGAGACAGCAGAGGTAGTTCAACTTTGTATAAAGCGAGACAGACGGACAGAGAGCCGAACCAAAAAACAAACAATACGTGGGTTGAAACAACAACGAAGCAGTCAGCGTTTGTCCACCACCGTTCGTAGTCCATGGCCATGGCTGAAGGCCGTGCATGAAGGGGCGCGTGACTCCTTCCGGTCGCCAGACAAGAGATGGAAGAGAGGAACACTCGCCAAACGATCCAGGGGCTGCGAAAGGTACAGCAGTACATTTTTTTTGTTTTCTCCCATCATTGGACTCTGCCGTCTGCCCCTCTGGCCCCATCCTCCACTTCTACTAGCTAGACGACCCAACCGGGGTCACATGAGAAGGGGCCCCTCCTGCGGTTCCTGCCTGAGATATTTTTATCGCGAGAAGTACATGTAGTTGGCTGACATTGGCGGCAACCAGTCACCCGTTTCGTCTACTCGGCACAAAGCAACAACAACGCGGCAACAAAGGCAGGCGCTTCGTCTCGCAAATCGAAACCTCTCCCTGCAGCGCTACAGTACCGCGTCGAAAAGAAAGACTCGGCTTAGTGACGAGTCTTTGTCCTATGGCAGCGCTGGTTGTTTTTTACGCAGCACAGCAGAGGCCTGATGATGCGCAAACGAGCGCCCAAAGCAACAACGAGGAGGGGACGCGACCTAAACACGACTGATCAACAGAGGAGAAACCGACAGATTGATCGGAAACGAATGATGGCATGCGTAAGGACCCGTCCGTGTAGAGCGAGAACGCGTCTGTTCCCGGAGCGCAGCTGGGCAATGAATGATGAGTTTCGGCGTGCAAGCGACTGGGAGCAGACCCCCATGCCCTTTTCTTCTAGACCTCTTGCTACGCCCGGGCCGCGGGGCTTTGCTGCTCAAATTGTTCCGTGCGTTGTTATGCACTCGACAATCGCTCCTTGTTCATCAATCCATCTCCACGTGCGGCACGCCGTGTGGCAGTAGTAGGCAATCACTTTCACTCACCTCGGTGATCAGAACTTTAGTTACGGCAGTCTTTTTTCAGAGCGTCTTGAGCAGCAGGTAAGCGCCCTCGGCCCTTGGGCAGCGGCACAAACACCAGCGAATCAGATGGATTCACGGAAATCACACCTCCAAAATGTGGTATAAATTATCGTTCGGACAGAAGAAGGGTCTGGGTTAGAAAGGTGCTGCATGTAGAGAGAACGGAACGGTTTTACCGCATTGAGAATCATTCCAAAGCGGGCCGCGCCGGTATCTCGAAATGTTCATGGTTGGTGTCCGTGGGAAATTTATGTGCATCAGGCTCCAGCAGGCTGGTTCAGATGTGGTAAATGGTACTGCCGTAGCGGACGATACGCTGTTCCGCATCCATTTTTGTTTTTTGTTTCCGCTCGCTGGTACCAGAAAGAACGTTCCCCGGGTTCCAAAGTTCCTTCATTCATACAACGGTGCTGTATCAATTCCAGACCCACGATCCCACATCTCGCCTGCTGCTGGAGAGTGCGTCATCGGTGGATCATTGATGCAGAGAAGAACAGCGTAAGGTGAGGTGTGTGTGTCGAAAGAGACAGACACAAACTCGCGCGCTCTGCATCACCATGGAATGAATGATACGATCGATGCGTTGGCTTACCTGCTTCATTTACCAGTGCGTGTGCAGAATAAAAAAAAATATACGTCGTGGGGTACGTCAGTGGTACGTCAGTGTGTTCTTTCCGTCTCTCATCTCAGTACGCGAACCAGAAAGAAACGCATCGATGTGCCCACAAATGCGCACATGCGCTCGCGTGCATCCACACCAGGGAATGATTGCATCGACGCTGCTTCCCTGGGTCTGATTTCATTTCGTCAATGGTAGGCATCAGTCTGTGAACAATCATGCTCGGGGATCTGGGGGTCCAAGCTTTCCGACTGGCCCCGGAATGCACGGTCAAACTTTTTTTCTCATGTTCGCGGCCGATGAAGATGAATACTCTGTGCCCTCTGCCTGGGTGCCGCTGCCCTTGGGTGATGAGTGAATGCATGCTTCATCCCCACCTTGAGAACGGAACAGTGTATGTTGCGTATCATGCGAACGACGAATGAATCACACCACAGCAGTCCGGGGCATTCTGGTGATGGGGGAAAACTGCTGTGAAGCAACGACACACCACAACAAGAGCAGTTTCAGCAAGCGGCATGGCATACAAGATGGCTGCCCTTATCTACACAGCAGTATCTTGTTGCATCTTTAGGATGAAATCAAACGCAGGCCCCTCTGCTGTTGCAAGTAATGTGGTATCTTGCTGGGCACCAGAACTGGCTGAGAAGAGAGATTCAAGCGCACATTACGCACATTGACTGAAAAAAAGCTTGAGGTTCTAATCGTGGTGCTCTCCGCGCGTAGGGTGTGTCCCGTGCGACATGTCAAACTCAAACAAACGGTCGGGAACGGCTGCGGGTGAAAGATTCATTTTTTCCACTTTCTATATTCCGTTTTGCCTTCGTCCCTACATAATACCCGCACGTTTGCCTTCAACGTTCTGCTGAAAGAAGGGGTTACCCGCACGGACAATCTTATCGCTCGGCGTTTGACCCTCGTGCTTCGGAGCAGCTTCTTCTCCGCACACCAGTATAGGGTCTCGGTGAGAGGTTGTCTGCTTATGGCGATGATGATGCAGAGACTTGGCTTGGCTGGTGACGCTGTGAAGAATTGTGGAGAGCTTCAGATGCAGAACAAAAAGCTTTCTGTGTGTGTTTTTATTATTCCTTAATTAAAAAGCAAGTATTTATGTCTGGCTTTTTCTGCTGTAACCTCGAACGACTTCGATAGAGCCGTTGTTTCTCTACAAAATAACAACCAAGCGAAGCAGCTACAGCGTCAAGCAGGCCGAGACTGCGTGCTCGCTGCTGTGTCCGTCTGCCGAAGATGATCACACTTTTTCGTGCACGCCCCGCTTGTTCGAGGTGTTTGGGTATTGATTGGGAGTACACAATGGGGCATCACCCCTGTACCCATGGGCCAGATAGATACCACAGCAAGAGACGAGTTGTAAAAAAATTTCTCCAGTGGGTTTGTGTAGGCTCTCCGGATGGTTCCCTGCGTGGCCTGTCGATGGCCTGAGCTGTCCTTCATTGTTGGCCTTAGGGTGAGGGCTAGTATGTTGGCTGGCCTTGAGAACCTCTCAGAACATTTTCTTGTACACAACATGATGCCGCAAATGAAACACGTTTATTATCCGCGTACAAATACAACATCTAACTTCACCTTCACGCCATAACACCTTGGTTGACGCAGCGATGACAAATAAATGCAAGAATTGCTCCGCCGGCGGCGCCTCCCAGTGAAATTGCGATGTACCGAGCGATGAGCACTCAGTGCGTGTTTCTGGAGCAACTCTACCTTGCTTGGCGCGTTTCTTGTTGTTGTCTTCGCGTTGCATACAAGAATTTCGTGTTTGGCTATTCTCTGTGGAGGAATGTAAAAAAACAAGTTACTTTCTAAGGGTCTCTCCCGGAGTAAAACGCACCGGTCTCTGTTTCATTTGCTTGAATGTATGTACAATAGTGCGATCGTCCAGTTGGTTTTCGCGCAACTCACTCCCGTTCGATTTCGGCGTCCGCTTGTAAGATAGATTATGGGGTTGCCCTCTGTGGCGCATCCGGCTGCCCGCGCGATATCATGTTCTACCGCTCCTGTTGCGCGCCTTACAGCTTACAGCTGTTGTACTTCATACTCAAAACGGGTCCATTCTCCGCCCCTTTCCCGCGTTGACGACCGTCAAGTGTAACTGCTGCGCATGTTATGTTCACCAAGTAGACCGTTTTTCCACCGATAGGGCGAATATTTCGTGCTGAAAGTTAAAAATACGGAGAGGGAGTCCTTCAGAGAGATAATAGAACCCACAAACTGAAGCAGATTGTAACCCCTGGAAGACGGCAGATCATCAGGGTGACCAACTCTTGCATGAAGAGCACCATGCTTCCAGCAGTACTTGTCTTGTCTTGTTCTGTATCGAAAAACGTTGGATTATACTTTGTTAGGGGCACGGCCGATCTGCCGGTAGCGTCGCCGCCGCCGGTTTCCGCCCGGTTCTCGCGGCGCGGCAACCCTGACGCGCGGGGTCGCCGGCGGTACATATTTCAACCCCCAACCCACGCATTCCTTCACCGGAACGCCCCCAGCGGCGGCGGCGAGAGGGTGGCGGTGACTTTTGGGACGTAAACGAAAAAGACACGGGTTGCCGTGTTTCCAATCCGCCAAAGCCGCGATGACGGTGGAATGCGGCAGGATGGGCGGGAATAGTAGTTTTTTGTGCCGCGCGGCAGGCAAACACTGTATGTCGTTGCAATCCAAGCGTAGGGCATCACAAGGAACACACGTGAAGAACTCCCCCCCCCCCCCTCCCAAATTTACCTCATCCTGGGGGGAGCTTTGCATCAGGCATGAAACATGCACACACACACACCCGGGGGTGGGCGAAAACTGTAGGCAATTGAACCTCGACCCGAAATCGAGACTTGCCTTATCGCCTTTGTCGACAAAACACCCAAGTTCCCGGATCTCACCAAACCACCCTATCGGACCTACCTATCCTATGGCATATCTTCCGTCCGAGATGTCGCACTCGAAATGAGTAATAGGACTTCTCACGTCACTTGCGGCTGACTTGTGCCCTTGGCGAAGCATCCACGGGGAGACGGGGGTCGCTAGCAAAAGGAAAAGGTCCGGCAAAAACCTCACCTCGTTGTCCTTCGTTCACCCTCCACCGCTGTAGTACTCCGCCCTCGGACGAAGAGTAGCTACAGACCGGTGTTGCTGGAGTAGTAGCCATCTCATCTGCCCCCAGCGCCTCCGATCTCCCACACTACTGACAGTTTTGCTGAACCGCCCATGGGACACCCATGGGCACTTCATGGGCCGCCCATAGGCTGCCTGCCCGTGGGCGGCCCATGGGCTCTCCGAGACCTTAGCCACCAGGGTCAACCTAGCACGTGTCGTGTGGGCTTGGGGTTAGGGTTTGCGTTAGCGTTAGGGTTTTCAGCCGCTATAGTGCCCGTTCCAAAGCATATAATGTATTGTTTAGGAGTTGGTTGAAAGGCTCTCAGTGGCCGCCCACGGGCTTCCCATGGGTTGCCCACGGGGTGTCCCATGGGTCGTCTGGGAAAATTGTAGAAATTGTGGGAGATCCAGCCCCTCCAGCCCTGCGCTGACAGAAACAGCAGCAGCAACAACAAGCCACACAACACTGCCGGATTGAACATGGCCCTATAGTTTTTTCCCTTAGTTTTACCCCCGGGGTGGCCGATTTCGCGTTGATAAAAAGCGGCGGGGTGTACAATGGTGTTATGGTAACGTCGGGATGAGTCTCTCATTGATGAAACAAAATACGTGGCAGTGCATATGTATCAGAACATGCCCCAGGTGCTCCATCAGCCCTTGGGCTATCCCCTGCTCTTTGGGGTGATGCTACGGCGGTAGGGGGGGGCACTTTTGGGGTGAAGATATCTTAGCACTTTGGGGAGAAAGCGTGTATTATATTCCTGTTTCGGTGATCCTACATGAAACGTTGGCAACCCAACATGTTTTGAAGTAGAGTGCGTGCGTCTGTCTCTCCCTGCACCCGAGAGTGTACTAACGAGGCTACCCCCCTGCCATAGCGCCACTCTTTGGCGTGGTCCTTTTGCCGGTAGCATGCGGGTACCGTAAATGACACAAGATATCACACCCCCTGGACCGATTTTCAAAACTCGATTTCTCAATAGCAGAAAGAGTCACAGAGCCGAAAACGGTGGCGTTGAAGCTTTCTCGTCGAGAGCTTTCCGAAAATGTGTTGTTTCATTTCATGCATCCTCTTAATCGCGGTGTAGTCGAGCTTTGGTGTGTTATATTTGCACCCATTCATTCGTTCGCGTGTGGCCCGACCACCGACCTAAAACTACAACACCTGCTGCCCCCTCGCGCCAGGTGGACCGATCAAGTACCAGTCGGAGTCGAGCCAGGGAACGATGTGCGTGCCCGTGTTTGGTCCTGAAGTGTCGATGGGCCGCGACGCTGGGTCCATTTCCCGTTTCACCAGCACAGGCAAAGGTGGCCGCTCGTGGGACGGAAAAATAATGCCACGGAAGGAGGAGGAGATATGCGGGAACAGGGCGGCTGGGCTAAGGTAAGGCAGAGGAGGTATAGAGGTGCCACATTTATTTACTTCTGAGATAACCTTTTCGTCGAAAGGGCCAGCCTTTCGTTCCGAAAGGACGTTTGCGCATACTGCATGCATGAGAGGGAGACGACGGTGGCCAATGACCGTCAACACGTTTGTTTCGCCTTTCTTTTCTGTCCGCGAGACGACTCCTGCGCACACTGAGGCGTTGCGTATGAGAGACAGGCGGACGCGGGAATGTTCGTCATCATGATCTACATATGTTCATCATCATGATCTATGTTTCGCCTTTTTTTCGTCGAGAGTTGTCGAGAGACGAGAGGTGTAGACGAAAGCTCGTGTTTGACTCTTCATCACTTGTTTCGCCGAGAGCAAACAACTGCACAATCTGCGCGAAAGGGGAGTTGGTGACCGCTGTCTCAGGACACGGAGAAGATGGCCTGAGAGCCCATGTTGAGCGCGTTGCTTTCTCTTGTATTCTCGCGATCCCCGAAAATATGTTTCGGGGCTTCACATTCAGAGGTAGCCGTGTCTATGCGGGACCTAATCGTTTGCCGTGACTCAGGAATACCGTGTGAGGCGGAGAGATAGGCACCCCCCCCTACCCCCCCCCCCCCCCCCCCCAAAAACATGTTTCCAAAATCCAA